TGTTTTTTATTACTGTCCCCGACTGTGTATTTAATGTGCCATACCATGCACTTATTCGCTTACGTTCAATTACACAGAATTATATGTTTATATAGATATATGTCTGTATGCATACTGCTAACTTCCACCTACTCGCCTTCTTTTAGTCGGATTACACATCTTTTCATAAATCTTTTTACGAAATTATGAATTCTAACAAATCATATTGGTCATCATGTTACATATGAACAGATGGACACTTGAGGTATATATAAACATACATGGAGTTGTCGAAGATTTGTGAAGGAATGTGCGTGTTTGTGTGGGTAGTTAAGGCACATGAAAAACTAAATTCCTAATGTTACCTGTTTTATTTCGATTTTGTCTAATTAGACTGATCTTACAAAAGTTTTGCTTTCAAAACACGACTATTTGCAGACACACACCTATAAATAGTCACATCTTTATACTCTGATAAAAATAATACAAAGGTTTTGTTAACGGACAACAACATTCCGATGACTTGGCAAAAAATGTGTTTTTCTAATCTTCAGAAATGTTCCTAAACGTGTTCGGGATGAAAATATTTGAAATAGATTAGAAAAAGGTTTACATGTTCGGTAGGGATACATAAAATATGAACATAAGGTTATGTATAGTTGCGTCCTATTTTCAGTGAACGGTATATTACAAAACTAATTAAAACTGGGATTCCGTATTCATTTATATAGACCGCTGATAAAAAGAATGTAAATTGCGATAAATTATTTTGAAATATTTATTTACTAGCTGAATAATGCTTGGATTTCTATTTACATAGTCATCATTCCATGCAACTTTCTTAGTATTCTATATCAGTTTATTGATACTGACAACCAGAAAATAAAAGACAGAGAGCACATTTAGTTGTTTGAGACTATCCGAAGTCGGATTAGATCTTATATCTGAGAGAACATTATTATTTCAACAATGATGGTATAACTGAACTGATATAGTAGTCACCTAGTTGGGCTGCTGTAACATGGAGATCGACATTAGTATGTCTTTCCTATTTTACTGTATTTATATCCAAAAGAAACTTTAAAGTTAGTCCACTTTTTTGTAAAGGGCAAAGGCATATGTTAGTAGGGAGTCTAAACATAACGTTTTAAAAAATATATATTTATGTATAAGCAGATTAAGTATAATGGGAGAAAACTTTGATTATCTGATCATATGTATCTTTATTGTGTTATAATATTTAAGTCTTAGCACGTTACATCTTTTTTAAATTTTTTTATGCGATATGTGAAATAATCTAACAAAGAAAAACCATCAGCATGACTCGTGTGTGGATCCAAACTTTTGCACAGTGTGAGGAAATTTAAAAGAAATAAGTATAAGGATGGAAATACTAAAATCGGTAAAAGTCGAAAAGTAAAGTTTAAAAGTGAAATATACTAAACGCAGCGAATGAATTTAGGAAGTATAGTGTAAAGTAATGCTATGTTTAAGAGTTCGGCATAATAAAAAATTGTTTATACGTCAATGATAACATGTAATCATTTTAGCGATGTTTCTCATAGTCTCTTACTATAGATTATGCTTTACGTTTACTTCAAGTAAAAAGGCCTGTATCTCTCAATGCATCTTAGATTGAAGTCAAGGACTTCATAAACCAACTAAGTATCTTGTTTTGACCACCCATAAACGCTTTCATATCTAACTGATGCTAGCAAACACAGCATCCATGGTGGCTATGTTTGGGTTTGTGTCACATCCCCTAGACATAAATTAGTCAACCAATTCACCACTTTTACCTAGTAAATTCTGCTTAATATCAGCACTACTCAATTTTTGATCGCTCTTCGACTCAGCTCAAATGTCAATAAACAATGTTTGGTGAGGAAACCTCTTGGACAATACGCTTAGTATGTGTTTCAAGCCTTCGAAGCTGGTGCTCTCAAATGAAAGCATTTAATAATGAACTCCACGATACCCTAAATTAAGTTACTGAACTTAAGCATCACTTACACAGTGCTGCCACTGTGTACGGTAATTCAAGACATAGTTTTCTAAAAACAGTAGTTGCCTATGCTTAGTTCGGAAAAGCTCTTTTGCAAAAGTATGTAACGAAACTTTTTAATTGTGAGTCTTACAAATGATATTTTGAGGAACGATCGTATGGTCTCACTCTATCGAACATATCTGTAAAAGGCATTGATGAATAACAAGATATTGTTATGATGAACAACAAAGGTTCACCATTTTCTACAAATACCATACTGTTCCTGACACTTTAAAAGGGTTATGTGGATCGCTTATTTCTTCTCCTCACTTCATGTTTTGTGAAATCTCGATGAACATGTCACAAGAGATTTGTTTATTATGTGAAAATTTACGATAATTAGATAACCTACTTGTAGGTGGCATGAATACTATAACAAACGCGGTAATGACGGCACAAAGATCGATTGATTTTTACATTCGTGAAAGATATATTTCCTACTCAATTTGTTTTGAATCATACAAACGGCTTGTCCATGACATCTTGGATATAACACTGTAGTGTAATGGTTCATTGGTTGCATCGATTTAGGCGATCGAGTTACTTAATTATTGCACCAAAATGATCTGTCAGATATAAACATAAACTTTTAGGAAGAAATCTGATAGTTTTAAAATGTTGTGTGAGGAAGTTTATGTTGTCCATTCTAGTACTTGGCAATCATAATTTAATTAGCATAATGTTACCCAGAAAAGTTTTGTAATTCTGCTGTCTAAGCTGACACGACACAGCTTATAAAATATAAAGCTACGTATCTTCTCATTGACCTCTTCGTTACTTTGGCATGATATTTGAGAACATCTTTTATGGAGTTAAAAAACTCAACTTTAATTCCATTAGTTTATATATTTTAATAGTTACAAACTACTTCATACATTAACTGCTGAAACATCATTATATTTTTGAATTCACTACACAACATAGGGATATGAATTCAAATAGTGATGTTTTATTCAGCAATACTAGATTTGCTAGGATCCAATATTTGTTCTATCCTTTCACTGTTCAACCTCATGATTTGTAGATTTATCTCTTTTCTTTATTTTCTATAATACTTATTATTTTCATCTTTTCAATCTACAAAAAATTGATTCTTTTTCCGTCTTAAATTATTCTGATTTGGTTTTCATTACTCGCATTTTCTAAAAATTTAACATTGAGCCTTATTTTTTAATATGATTTGCTTACTGATTCAGGCCTAACGTTTTTCTCTCCCGATCAAACTAAGCGAAACGACAAACTGTGAGTGGAGTTCTGTTAATCGAATCAATGTAACTACAACTGATTTATATTTGTAGGTCAATACAAAGTTGTTGATTATTTAATTAAAAAAATATTTCATTGAGGTTAGCTAATTGTTTTTTGCATTGAGTAATCGATATTTATACTATTTCTTTTGTTTCTGTCGGCCATATTTTCAATATAATATAGGTGGGTTTGGGTGCATAGTCTAGTGGTTTAAACCAATAAAACAGGTCTGCACAATTAATAATCTCCTAATCGATAAAAAACTAAATTAAAACACAATTATTTGAATGAAGAATACTGTTTTCAATGATTAGAAATTAAGTGACTAATTCTGTTTTGCTCCTCACTGATTGTTATTTACTGAAGCCCATTGTTGTTCCTAAAAGTTTTGATGATCTGTCTATTGAATTCAAACTTCTGTTAGACTTATTTTGTCGACTAATCTTATGGATTGAACCTATTAAAAATATTTTTCTACAAAAAAACCTTTGCATCATGTATCATTTGATGCTATCATTTTGTCAATAATTCAATTGTATATCATTGCGTTTGTTGACCTTGAAATACCTTCCACTACGGACTGTAATCAGTTGGCGAACTACCTAAATCTAGAAGATACATGGCAGATATTGCAACATAGTTCACAACTTTTCATCAGCATACACACAAAACCAAACCCGAAATCTTAGGATTTCTTAGCAATTACTATATAACTAAGGAAATGAATAACCTGTATTTTCCAACTTGTCTCAATTCATGACATCACTTATTCGGCACCCCTTTCACTCCTTAATGTATTAACTCCAAATAAGCTGCTGTTTTACTGGGACCTTATGAAGTATATCCCAAAGCCAATTATTAGTAGGCAAGAAAAGTACTTTATTGGTTAGTGAAATAAATCCAGTTAGGCTAGTCCTTACCAATTCTGCGAAATTCTTAAATGTACTTTGATATGATTATGTTTATTGAAATCTTCTAAAACTTTTTCTATAATATTTTACCCCGAAAGCATGCGTAGAAATAAGCTTGAAGTCAATGTTATTCACTTATTGTTGTGTTGTATATTAATATGATGATGATCATTCAAGTCTTTTTTATAGTAATCAGAGAGTGATTTGTTTAACCTATTGACTTTCAACTGATAGTTTATAGGTTTGACTTCAGTTCGGTCTAGGGTGATATGAATAGTATTTCTAATCTTGAAAATATGTGTTATTCAAAATCTAATATGCGTATATAAAGTTTGCATGTTGAATTAGCAATACACTGTGAAAATCTATTTTTTACTTAGCTTTACACTACTTGAATAACAAATAAACAAACTGATTAGTGAAACAGGAAACCTTTTATGCCTTCAAAAGCTTAATTATAGATATCTCAGAGAAGAGGCTCATCAAACTATTTCACAATAATTTCGTGTGTCATACTCATGTTCTGTGTTAAAAAAATGTTTTACTGGTTATCTCATAGTTTCTATCAAACTAATTAGTTTATTACCAATTATTCAGTGTATTAGACATTCATTAAATGAAAACACCTTTCAAGAAACCTCAGAAATAGAACTTGTGGAAATTTACTGTCTTTGATAATTTAAGCTGCACGGTTCAGCAAAAACATATTTCCAAATACTAATTTTAAACTGCTTTTACAACCATAAATTTTCAAACTTTTTTATCAAAACAGAAAATCCCACTATAATTTATCACAATTTTCTGTAAAATTCAAGGTGTTGGAGCATTTGGCAAAGTATGGCTTGTACGCAAAAAGGATAATAACCAACTATATGCCATGAAGTTATTAAATAAAAGAGATGTTGTAGAACGCCGACAGTTAGCTCATGTACAAGCTGAAAGAGATATTCTAGCTGAGGCAGATAATGAGTGGGTCGTGAAATTGTTTTTTTCATTCCAAGATTCACGAGCACTTTATTTAGTTATGGAGTATATTCCTGGTAAGAAGTTAATTATTTTTGATGTATTGCTCAGTTTTCTTTTCGTATTTTTATTTCATGAAAAATGTAACTCTAATAAATACCTAAGTGCCCCAAATGAACTTTTCAATGAGTTGTGTCATGTTTTTGCAGCAAGTGTGGAAATATTCCTGGAATTTGATTGTTAGGTTTAAGGTCTCCAATATCAGTTAGCATTGTGTTGTCGACGAAGCCTACAAGTATATTGTTTTCTACCATATTCAAACGAAATCTCTATTTTTGTTAAGTCGTTTCCGTTTTGTATCACAATCACACAAAGGTTCTTTAAATATTTTTTAACTGGTAATATAACCGGATATAATCGATCCATGTCGAGAACTAACCACATAAAGTGAATTATTTACTCGATTATGTTTAATTGGTAACTTCATTACGTTTATCAGGTCACCAGTGGCAAGACTTTTGCGCCTTGTTTGTTTTTCACCATCAATAATTCTTGGAACCGTGCAAAACATGCACACTGGCTTATCAGTAGGTAGACTGGAGAATCCAGACTAATTCACGTCAAGATTTATAGTTAGTGAAGTAACTATAAGTAATCTAACTGCTCAGTTGAGTGAAAAGAAATGTTTTATTCCTTGTCTTCAAATTGATTTTGTCCGACAAATAAATCTGGAATATGTTTGTTTTCAAAAACTTTTTTACTAGTGATTCTGCCTTTGTTAGAGAACTAGGTTGCTTACTAGTCTTTGGAAAAAGGCACTGCAGTTATTAATTAGCCTAAGCAGTCTGTGATATCTCACCACGATTTGACTATCATCTTTCTGTATGACTTATTTTTGAATAGAATGTACAGTTTTGTTATCGAATTCGATAAAGAACAAAAATCTGATTAATATATCTGACCATGTTTGAAATGTACAGTAATTTTCAAATAAATATACTTAGTTATATGCACGCAAAATATAATGTCATAGGTGCATCAAAGGGATCTATGAACTATTCTTGGAAGGACCTAAATTTCCTCCATTAATGTATAACTTTAATTTTCCAGAAAAAATTGCCAGTCTTAGTATTTATCTGATTCTCCCTATCTTTCAAACATGTTTTGATCATATAGGTGGTGATATGATGTCATTATTAATTAAAAAAGGTATTTTCGAAGAACCGTTAGCACGATTTTATATCGCTGAATTGACATTAGCATTGCAGAGTGTTCACGCTATGGGATTCGTTCATAGGTTAGTACATTTTACTGCTTAATTATTTTTGTTGTAGCTACAATGTATTTTGACTTACTTTAGTTTCGTTCATAGAAATAGTGTGGTCAAATTAGTATATTATGTCTTTGCATCCAACATTAGTAGTTCTGTATTTAACTGAACCTCCAATACTATTGGGAGTGTTAGTTTGGGATTGAACGTACGAGAGAAGCAATTTGTAATTTACGAACAATTTGTATTAGAAAATATTCTTTCATATGAATTGATAGTCGAATAACCGTTGGAAGTCGGTCAGGATGTTCTGATCATTTAATTCTATCGGCAATTATGTTTACTTTCATTATGAATGACTACTTGGGTTGCCAGTTATAGTGAAACTTTAGCTATTCGTTCCTTTTAATGGATCATTAATGATCATTTTATGTATTTACGTTTTTGTGATTTCGACGACTTGGTTAATCTGGTTAAGATTTAGAAACCTATGTTGGATTTGTTCATAGGTTGAACAAGCGTAGTACTAAAAAAGTGGCTTTCTTGATTTTGGACTGTTATCCTGGTTAGGTAATTTTTAAAATGAAAGCAATAATCCTGAAGAATTACAAGTTGGAAAGACCGTTGTGAATTTTAGGCCATTGAATATATCCCATTGATCGGGTAATCACACTTCTCAATTTCAGACACAAGTCCTTTTACTTACTGTTTTTTAATCTAATTCATCGTTAGCACAGTGTTGTTTGTCTTACAGTCAGACATAAATTATTGTCTCCACAATCATTAACTTGTGCCATAAACTCAGAGAGTTATGAATGTTTGTAAACATTTGTTTTATCAACTTGGAAAGTGTAAAAGTAAAATAAAACTCTTACTAGATCATAAAATGAAAACATTTCTTACTATCAGCGGAGATGGATGGTGGCTAGTGGTGGAATCCAAGTTGCCTGTTTCATCCCATTTGGGACTTCTCAGCTGGATGTACTTGCACTCCGGATGTTCTTTCGGGACTGACTAATGAATTTCTTATTATCTTTCGCATCTTTTTTTAAGTTCTTTGTTTATTCTTCTCCAAACTAATTCCTGTTTTTTCTTGTTATTGTGCTACAAATGTAATAATGTTCCATTTAAACCTTAGATAGACGTTCACTTATTCTCATGTGTATAAATAATACTTCTTCTCCGATTCTCTTAGAGTATACAGACCTGAAGGTAAGTTAGTTGACGAAATATTTTTCATAACCTTTTTATTTTATTGTACCACCCAACTAAAAAACCACAAACCAAATCAAAGTTTAATAGTTAGAACTGATAGTTGAGTTCTAGAAACACTAAAGACTATGAACATTGCTCGTGAGCTTCAGAGCAGCGTGATTTTTTTAATGAACGGTTATTTTCTGCTTTTATAAAGGTGAATTTAAGTGTTAATTAGAATTAAGACATTTACTGAACTGCTTTACTCATAATTGACAAGTGGAACGTAACTAAATTTCCTAAAGAAAAAACAACAGCAGCTAAAACGGTACTACTGTTAAAAAAATCCTATTCATTTTACTGAGCCTCTGTTAACTCCCATCACAATTTAGTGTCATTGTTATGTGCAACTCAAATGTATTGTCTCATGATGTCATTGTTCTCATATGTTAGGCAATCTGGCAGCATACACATCTTTTAAATCTCACTGATTCTGCTAACGATGAACCATCGTCATGGCTATTATATTTAGTTTGATTATAAGGTTAGTGAAGAATTTTACATCACACTTTTATATTTCACACACCTTTTTCAGGACAGGTTTATATCCTTGACATGTTTTTTAATATTTTATATAAACAGAGATATCAAACCGGACAACATTCTCATTAATCGTGAGGGACATATTAAATTAACAGATTTCGGTTTGTGTACTGGCTTTCGCTGGACACATAGCTCCAAATATTGGGATTTAGACTTCAATATACCTTGTTCCTCACCCAGCCGTAATAGGATAAATCGAGCTAAAACAGCTGAACCACCTGAGTCAACCAAATTAACTGAAGATCAGATCACGAAAAGCTGTAAAGAATGTGATGAAGACGATGTTACAACTATAGAAAAGGAAGAGGTTGGGGTACTGGAACAAGTGCACAATTCCCGTCAAACAAATGGTAAACAATTTACAGCGTTAAGGGCGGTACACCATGACAAAACACTTGAAAGGCGTAGGAATAGTTTTGCTAATCGCCGATGTGCACAATCTTTAGTTGGAACGCCGAATTACATCGCACCAGAAATTTTGCGCAGGCAAGGTAAGTTGTTAAGGATTATAATCATCGTTGGTTACTTTATCTTCTGGTAAATTTACTATTTTAATTCTGATTAAATACTAAATAGGAAACCCAACAGTTAACCAATTATTTGAAATAACTTTAGTAATACTATTTAATATGTCAGTCAATTCTTACTGTTGTATATAATTTATAGATTACGGACAAGCCTGCGACTGGTGGTCAGTTGGAGTGATTTTATACGAAATGCTTGTTGGACAGCCTCCTTTCCTAGCGCAGACAGCGGCAGATACACAAATTCGTGTTGTCCAGTGGTATAATTACCTTAAGTTGCCCGGTGAGCCACGTTTAAAAAAAGATGCAAGCAATCTTATACGTCAACTCCTCCGAGATCCATCTGATCGACTATCTGATCCAGTAAAAATAAAATCTCATCCTTTCTTCGAATCAGTTGCATGGGATAAACTTGTTCAGCAAACGCCCCCATACGTTCCAACAGTAAGTAATCGTTTGAAGTTTCATTCCTTTGCAAAATTGAGTGGAATTGGCAGCAGCAGTGATCATACTAGTATAAGTAGTACTAGGATTATTATTAGTATTAATAAAAATAGTAATATTATAACTGGAAGAAGCAATATTAGTTGTTGTAGTATTAACATTAGTAGTACTATTAGTATATATTATTGTAATAATTGCATTAGTCGCAGCCGTATACATAATCGCAGTGTTAGTCGTAATCATAGTTGTAGTAATATTAGTACTAGTAGTAGTAGAAATACCGATAGCGATAGTAGCACTTGTAGTGGAAACATTATTAGCAGTAGTAGTTGTTGTGGCAATGGTAGTGTGGTGTATGCCACTTTTGTCGACAGATATAAGTAGTATGTAGCCGCAGTTTGAAGTGAAATGCCTGGCAGCTGAAGATTGAATTGAACAGAACAAAAAAGAAATCACTGAGCAATCAAAGTAATAACAGGAATGAAGGAACGATGAAGATGTGCACATGATTTTGTTAATGTATGATTTTCATTCCCACCAAGTCTTCGTTCACTACAATTGATGTCTCACGATAAAGATCCAATGGCTGCGAGAGTTTGAGAGAGGAGATATTCTGAACTTCCTCAGGGAGTTTGAGGCTGGCGCGAGGCTGATGGGTGTGGAGGAGCCTAAGGCAAAGACGGTGGTGCTGGGGACGCTTCTGAGAGACAGGACGAAGGCTATATGTGACAACCTGGAGGGAGCTGGCAGGAAGACTACATAGTAGGTGGTCACAGAGTTCGACAGCCCGGTGTTTAAGCAGGAGACATTGCAGAAATTCCGATCGTTGAAGTTGTCGGCCGAGTCAACCAGGTTGTTGCTTCGTGTACCACTGAATCTGGACGACGAGTTAGAAGCATAGTTGCTGGCATCGCAATTCATCAAGAGCGTGGCTGCTGCCATTTCCCAACAGGTGTAATTGATAACTGTCGCACAAGCCATAGATATCATTGAAATAGCAATAGTAACCAGACAGCTGATGACCCAAACAGCAGCTCCGGTTGGGTGCAAAAGTCAAGAGGTAGACAGTGTCGGGAAGAAGATAACGGAGCTGCAGAGTGAGATTGCCGCAATACGAGCGAATAATAACAGGAATTATAAATGCTACGCTTGTGGAGGAACAGGCCATTGGAAGATAAACTGCCCAACAAGGCAAAAACTCAGAAATTTTAGACTATAATTCGTGTTCCTTCTATCTAACGAAACTGAGAATCGTTACGTTAGAAGAGAGAGGCAGTCTATGTGAGAGTAAGAATAGACGAACGAGAGTTGGAATGTCCGATCGATACAAGAGTAGCAGTATCATTAATAGACAAAGTGCAATCTTAAGAAAATTAAGTCATGTACGTGAGTTGTCCACACCATTGAGGGCCACATGTTAGAGGTTTTGGGAATGTCTAACAGTATCGTAAAAGTTGGTGGTGGTGAGATAAATTTCCCGTTCGTGGTAACCACAAGCCTACCGAGACTGATATTAGGAGCAGATTTCCTAAGAGAAGTAGAAGCGATAATTGACTTAAGAAGCAGGAAGGTGGTCACGAAGTATGTTTCATTCGCAATACATGAAAGTAGCGAGGTGACTGAGATAAGAGTAACATCAGACGTCTCTGAAAAACAACCGAAAATTATCGAGTTGCTCACAAAGTATACGAAGCTGTTCATGGGAGATGGAGAGCCATACCGATTTCGTGATAAAGTAAGGTATGAAATTCCGATAAAAGACGATGCAGTGCCATACTTACAACACGTGTTCTTATGCATTAGGAGGCTAAGGTAGATCGATAAGTTCGGGAGATGTTGGAAGATTTTATTTTATTTTAACACATAGATATTGGTACAAGGAGGCACCAAATACATATGCGCCACACAAATCTCATTCGATATGTGTGGGGGCTGTGGTACTGCCCGTGTGCCCAAACCGAGGTAGGTAGTTTTCTTAGGGGGCCACTCCCCAAGCCTTCGACCTGAAGGTCTGATCCACAAGGCAGTGGAGCATCGTAAGGAGATGCAGTCCTATGGTAGCCGGTGACCAACGATTGGTTCATACGCCATTTGTTCCCTCAGGTTACTGGAGCCCATGTGCACCATTGGTTTGGAATCCGGTTAAAGCGCCAGACATTCGCTTTTCGTCCTCTCGATTTCGTAAACAACACCCCCGCCACGAGGAGGCAGTGAGTAGGACTTCCCTGGCAGAGGCTATATACGCGTGGCCACGTGAGAGCATTTCGAGAGGGAGAGCGGACTCTCCCCACTCTCGACCGTACCAGGGCATTCGGGGGCGATGTTGGAAGAAGGTATAACTGGGGAAGCGGACAGCTCTCCGGTCTTCTTGGTAAAGAAACCAAATGGGAAGCATAGATTCTATGTCGATTTTAGAGAAGTGAATAACATCAGAAACCTGGAACCATGTGTAATGCCAACAATAGCGGAAACATTAGATCGCCTACAGAATGCCACAATCTTTAAAGTGCTAGATTTACGGTCGGGTTATTGGCAACTGCCAATAAAAGAGAACGATTGCAACAATATAGCATTTACCGTAAGTAAGGAGCAGGATCAATTTTGACGAATGTTGTTTGGGTTGGCAGGTGCACCGTTCATGTTCAGAAGATTAATGACGCTGCTGTTCAGGGACCTAGAAAACGTAGAGGTGTCTGGTGACGATGTAGTTGTGTATAGCCGTACGGATCAGATCATATAAAGCATTTTGAGGTGGTCCAAAAGCGAATTGAAGAATAAGGACAGGTCGCATATAGCGGAAAATAGCGTCACTTTATTGGGGCACAAACTGGGGAATGGAGAAATAAAACTACTTCCAAAGAAGATCCTAACCATAAAGAATATTGTGGTATCCGATTCGAAAAGGGAATGAGAAAATTCCTGAGAAGTGAGTAACCTTCTAAAGTCGATTCGTCAAGAACGTCTCCTCTATATAAGTTGCTAAGCAACGTGACAAACTTTTGACTGAATTAAAGACCTTTTAGACGATCACCAGATGACGTGGAGATTGCTATAATCCAATAAATCATTTGCAGTGGCCACAGGTGCAAGTGATCATGATGTAGGTGCCATCTTAAGTCATTCTGCCAGTAGTGGAGTACGTGAGTCGTGTGTTCACACTCACTGAATAGAAGTATTCAGCAGTCGAAAAGAAGTATTTAGCAATTGTTTAAGCGGTAGTCGAATAGAGACTGTACCTACTAGGTAGACGATTTCACATCGAGACTGATCATAAACCCTTACAGTGGTTGAAAACAGCTAAAGACTCTCTTGGTAAGTCGGCGCAATAGATGTTACGTCAGAAGGAGTACGATTTTATTATCGGATATGTTCCAGGAAAGGAAAATGTATTGACGAACTACTTGTCATGGCCGGACATACAAGCTGAACTTCCACTGACAGCATGCGCAGTAAATAGCCTAGGGAGAGACCCACTAGAACTTTCCAGGTAGCAATAGGATGACCTTAAACTTCGAGAGGTAATCAGAGTGACAAAAGCGGGAGAATAGGTCGACAAACGGCTGATGGACAAGGAAATAACAGTGTTGCCTTGGCAGAAGGAAAGACAGAGGATGAACGTATACAGAGCCCTGACCTAGTGGGATGATTATGAGTGCTACCAGGTAGTGCATACAGTTATCGCAAGGACGACAGATTTATTACGACAAACCGTGTACTGGCCAGGTGTGAGAGACGATATTGCACAATATGTATTAACTAATCAGCGGTGCCAACTAATGAAAAGGAATCAATATTTACAACCGCCATTGCAGTCAGTCCAAGTAACCTCAGTCAGTGGATGCAAATGGAACCGCTTCCATAGACGGCAAGTAATAATTAGTACTTGCTAGTTATCGCACAACATGCCACACGTCGGCTAAACACCGTTCCCAATGCAGGTCAGCGGGCAAGAGCAGTGACTGAAGTGGTAATCCGGCACATTTTAGCGGGTCACAGAATACCAAAAACGATTTTAACCGACTAGGATCCGTGTTTTGAAAGTGACGAATTTAAAGCCAGTCTAGAGCAGTTAGATACCAAAAAGATAGGAACTACACCGTATCACCCATAGACGAGCGGATTAATATAAAAGAACAAGCGGAGGTTAAAGGGATGGTTAGCGTCTAAAGGAGGGAACTGGGAAAGAGTTACCATTAATTTTGCTGGCGCTTCCTTCCTCCGTACAAGGAACAACTAAGAAGTCACCTTTCTAGCTGATATATGATAGAAAGCTGCGGCCACCAATACATAATAAAAGCTGGCCACAGCAACAGAGTTGAACTACAAAAACGATGATCGGAACGATTACAAGGACAGTTTATTAATGGAGGACGAGTGTGGTGTGTGCTACTTATATGAACCGATATAAGTAGCATGTATCAGGCATTGGAAGTAGAATTCCTACTGATAGAAGCGGAAAATGAAGAGAAGAGAAATCAAAACTGAAAGCAATCAAAATCACAACAGGAATGAAAGATCAATGTAGTTTGTATGAGACAACCCAATAAAGATGTGCAAATAGTGTATATGAATCTTTGTTTCCATATTTGACAAAGACGATGCAATTTTGTATAATACAATTGTTTCTCCTGCCCATGTCTTCGTTCATTACACTTGTACACATATTTTTTTCGATTTTAGATTCGTGATGAATTGGATACATCCAACTTTGACCCAGTTGACGATGAACGTACACTTTATAGTAGTGGGAACAATCATAGTTTGGATTATTCATCGGCTAACAATACTCAATTACCATTTCCAAACTTTACATTCAAACGATTTTTCGATCGCGACCCAACCACTATCCAAACTCCGTAATCTCACTTTTCTGATTCAGATTTCTGGTTTTTTTGATAATTCATCTGTATCATTACTAATGATCCATTTTTAGTATCATTGTAATGGAATCATAAGTGGCATTTACAGAATAAGTCATATATGTTTTAACATACTTCTTGTCATATCCCATGCTTTTAAGCAAAACTCTATGCTGTACAGAAAATTTTGTACTTTTTCTGTTGATTCTGCTTTGAAGATATGTTTTATTTAACAGTTTTCATATCTGAATATATTTCTCTTTATATATATTATCTTCCTGGGTTTTGTCAATTGACAGTCTCAAATTCACTTTGTAAAATTCATTTGTGAAGTGTTAAATAATTACGGCAGCTTCACAAATAATCGATATAAAATATATATTGAATTGAACTTCATGAGTAGAAATGCAAACGCGTACAATTTTACCACTTTTTTTAAAAATGCATTTAGCGTTTTAAACAGTGGTTTTATCTGCACATAATAATAATAATATATATTTACTAATGTCTACAGGTTTAGGTTAAATAATTATATAATCTTCCTTGGGATATTTAACTTTAATTCACCGCACCAATTTTTATTTAGTTCGCCTACTTATTTATACTAATGCATATGCGTACATTTATATGAATTTGTATTCTACGGAGGAGATCAAATGATGTTTCGTCCTCACTCTATTGTTTCTTTTTACCAAAATATAGCTGATTTTGGTTTTAATTTTTATGGATACCGATAAGAAGTTAATTTAGAGTTTATGTACAGTCACCAATGTTCCTATAAAAGAGTAAACAAAAGTATGTGGAGCTAGATACTGGCTCAAGTTGACTACACTCCCGTTGATGATCTAGTTGATTTTAACTTACTAAACTACCTTGAAAACAGTCTATTTCTCATCAATGTCATTAACTATCTTACGTGTTCAAAAGCACACCTTCATATGTATGTAAAACCCAGACCATAATACAATTAGGTACATTCAAATGAAACCCGAGCGTTTTTCGGTTTCTGCGCGTTATTAAGTGCGTGATGGAGATTTTCTTGACTTTATAGGCGTCCTGCTTGAATATCTGGGCTGGCTACCTGTTCCTGTCATCTAAATATTTCAACAAGTTATCTATTTTGTTTGCATCAACAAATCATTATGTTAATTAATTTCACAACCTATTAAGGTGCGTTTGTGAAAAGTTCATGACCTTTCACTGTACAGGTTAGAAAAGAGCACAACCAGAAACATTGTTGTTGCTGGCAATATACATCGAAAGGAATGTACATTATTCAGATGTCGATTCCTCAACTGCTAACATCTAATTGGCGATCACTCGATATTTGTCTTCAGGATCGACCATGAAATAAGAAACGGAAACTTGTTGAAATACTTTGCACTGAGAATTCTGTATTGTACCAAAAATAAAACATTGAATGAAGCTAATAATAATAAATATCACCTACCAGACACATATCTGGTGTTTCGTTTGACATACCCATTAAAACAGGCTTTTTAACACTTCTTTATGCCTTACAAATAGGTCAGAACTCATTTCAACTTATCGGCTTGCGTATCTGCTACAGGGCAAGCCTTCCATTCTAATCTTCCATCTTAATACTTACATAATTGTTACTCCGAAGTCATTTACGGGTAAGTAGCTTTTGAGCAACTGACTGCTAGTCCTTGGAGTGTTCATGTCGCTCCCGCTTCGGAGCATGTTTATGAATCTAAGTACTTCAAAGATGTTATATCTGATCAATCAGTATAATGTGCACAAGTACTATCTACTCAAACAGCGAGATTTGCTTGTTGGAATCTTGAATTAAATTGTCATCGATCTTTTATCAATAGGAATATATTTTCCATAAAATAACATGGACTTATTGTATTATTGCTGATGGACTTACGTATTCCTACATTGAATGTACACAGGCTAACAGATTATTGGCCTTGATAAACCTGCCTGGTTGTCAGGACTCACTACAGTATTATCTACGACACCCTATGCATTATCTACCTGTAAAACAATCAAAAACAAATATGAATAACTCGAAAGTTTATTTTCATTCCTTATATTAACCTGTATAAAAAATGAATCCCAGCCGATCAGTGTTTTCTTATCGCGATGATCTTGTTGACAAGCTCTCCTGCTTCATTTCAAACGTTCACAAATCGGATGATTTGTACATTGTGATTCGTTTCTAAAGTGTGTTAGTTAACATCGGAAAACTACTAACAAAACACCTTATTATTCATAACAAAACCAATGAAAACAGCCAATCGCGACGCAATATTGTGCTCACACTAACAATACTGAGAGGTGAAAGTAATGATGGTGATAATAGTAATGGTGGTAATAACGGTGGCATTGGTTGCTTTCGTCGTGGGTGTGTGTGTGTGTGCTCATCATTCTGTTTTAATTTCCAGGGTTGTTAGTTTCGGGTTTTTTCGACCTTGCATATCTTTAGGAAAGTCGCCTGACAAATTTGCAATATGGACCTCAACCACGGAGAGAACTCTCCACTTACGTTGCAACCACGATCACCAATATTATTATCCTTATTATTATTATTATTATTATTATTATTATTATTATTATTATTATTATTATTATTATTATGTATATCATTATTGTTACTGCTATTTCGTTTGCCGTCCGCTCTTCAGAAGTGCTTTTCTTGAATCACCAATAGAATTATTTATGTGCGTGCGTCAGTAAGTCAAAACTTTCGGCAAATGCTCCTTTGTAAACTGATTGTTATTGCTCTTGACTGATATATAAAGACTTTACATTTGGATAGGAAAAGTGAATACGAGTCACGTAGTTATTAATCAATAGCCTGTGTATGTTGAAAATCGGTGACAAAAGTAATGAATAACACGGTCGGGAAATTAGTCAGTCCGTCATTCAAGTCAGTAGTGAAAATTGATTTGGTGGGCATAAGCTTATGACAGAATAAAAATGAAGAATGTAAGTGTGGATCAAGCAAATGACCAGAGTACAAGTAGGTACTGCACGAACATGATAAGATAAGAAGGACGAACCGGTTTATTTACGCACTGCTTTTGAATGCCTCGGAATATTACTGATATTTTCACGAGAACTAAATTTAATATCAACTGGACGGTAATTCTCTCGAAATTGAGGATACAGTATAGTCGTCTGTAATAATAATATATCAAGTGACTTTTGTTGATCCTGGGTGTAAAATTACCAGTGACGATGCAGTTTCATTGATCGACTTATTCACATCCGTGTTTCTTTTTGCCTTTGAGACTTCGAGTTGTGGTAGTTCCCCAAGCCTCAGCTCCGTATAACAGAACCGTCCTAACATCTGTATTGCAAATTTTGACTTTAATGTTGGCTGACAATTGTTATGAGTCCTAGATATTCTTCAGTTGTAGGAGTGCTGACCTTGCTTTGTAAATCCGTGCTTTCACCCCTGCATTAGATCCACCTTGTTTATCAATGATGCTGATCAGGTATGTTAAAGCTCCCAGCTCTTGCAGAGTTTCTCCATCAGGTGTGATTAGGTTGGTGTTCCCCGTGTTGTATTTGAGGATATTGATTTTACATTCTGTATGTTGAGGCTGCTGCTACATTGGTTGTCTTCATCTGCATTTGTTGGTGTGTATGGGAGGAAGAGCTAGATCGTCTGTGAAGTCTAAATGGTCTGCTGGCATGTAAGCTGTCCACTGTACTCCGTGCTTCCCCTCAGATTCGACGATCTTCATAATCCAGTCGACAACCAGAAGAAAGAGAAAGGGGGAGAGTAAGCAGCCTTGTCTGACTCCGGTCTTCACTAGGAATGTGTCTGTCATCAGTCTTCTATGCACGACTTTGCAATGTAGTCCGTCTTAAGAGTTTCGTATGATGGTGACGGTTTTCTCAGTTACTCCATAGTGTCGAAGATTCAACAAGGTTCTCCTATTCACGCTGTCAAGGAATTTGATGTATGGTGACGAGTTGCATTCAATTGATTGTTCAACGGTGATTCTTGGTGTCGCAATTTGGCCTGTACACGACCATCCCTTAAAAATCTGGCCTGTTTATCTCAAATTCCAGCGTCTACTGAATCTTTCATTCGTCTCAGAAACACCCTGTTTGAAATTTTGCTTGGTACCGATTTAATTATTATGCCTATGTAGTTCTCACATTCGCTCAGATCCCGTTTCTTTGGTGTAATAGAGTTAAAGTCTGTTAAAAAATGCCATGCTACAAAAGTGTGAGTTGCAGCATTTTTATTGTGTAACACGGAGATTACGCAAAGTATAAACTAAGGCATGCTGTCCTATTTTCTTACAGCTTGGTAGCACCATATCAGCTAATCTCTTCATAATTAACCCATCCTTACTTAAGCGTATTTTAACAATTAAAAAATCAAGGTAAACCATGATTTTCTTCCAACACCGGGCGGCCGAAAATGTACAAACCAAGCAACCCAGTCTATGCACTGAAGACAGTTATAAGATTTTCTTTTCCAAAACCTGGGAGTCCTACACACTGTAGTGACTCACGTTTATCACGAGAACACGACTGGTTTAATAAAAACGATTATTATTATAACCAAGTGTACCAGTGACTGTTTTAATGTGCTTTTGTTTGACTGTGCTAATGACAGCTATTTTGTGCTTCCATTCTTATACTTACACTTTGATTGTAACTTCGCGCGAATTCGGTTACGTTCTGTAACCAAGCTTGTATCCTGGCACGATCTCGGTATCCTTTCGATGCCACGAGATCGCCAGCAAATAAACATCGACTTGGTCCATTAATTGCCTTCTGGTATTCGGCTTCTCGGGGATTTTATGGAGTCATTTGGAACGAGCTTCTTACGCCTTTTGATCTAATTGGCACGTGTTTCTTGGTAGCGGTGTTCACAGTTAATCTCAACTCGACGCCACGCTACAACACTAACCTCCCTAAATCGTCTCTGATGCATCAGTGGCACCAATAAAATCCTACTCGGAACTCTCCTAGAAATTGTGCTAAGAGCTATATGTGGTGTTTGAATGAACTAATGATTCCTTTGCGCTTGTTGGATGCTTGGTTTTGAATTCCAAATGCAGTACATTCGTTCGTGCTTATCTAGTACTTCTTGATCCGATAACATTGTTTCTGGGATTCTTAGTTCGCACTATAATTCAAATACTCCTAATCATACTATAGCCGTTCGATTACAGAAAATCAAGGTCAATCTCAATCCTCAATGCTTTTGGCCCACAACCTGGATTTTTCTACAGCAGTATTAAATCGAGATACTCTCACACATTTTAACTTAGT